TCTTTCTTTCCCACCAACCCCCACCCCGCTTCCCTTTGCTTTACCCCTTCCTCCACCTTTCCACTGGGCCCCACATTTCCCTCCACTTTGCTTCTTTTCAATTCCTCTCCCCCCTAATAGCTCCCTCTCCCTCCCTTTTCCTCCCAGTCCTCTTTCCCCTCCCTCCACACTTCAAAAAAAACTCCCGGATCCAGATGAAAGGGTTGCCCTGCCCCTGCCTGTGCCCTGCCCACTTCTGGCTGCTGGGGTCCTACTTCATGGCTGAGGGCTCGGGGGCTCGGGCCCTGGGGAAAGGGCCCACTCCCAGCATCCAGCTCCTGCGGGCCCAGTACCAAGACCTGAGGCAGCAGCAGAGGGCCCAGGCGCACTTCGTGGTGCTCCCGAAAGGTAGGGCCGCAGCAGCTGGGGAGGAGGGCCTGGTTGTGTGTGTGTGTTGGGGCCGAGGGGGGGCGGGGGGTCTGAAGCTCTAAGCAGGGCTTGGCCCAGGCTTTGCTGGCCTGCCCTCCTGATGGAGGAGAGTGAAGTCAGAGCCAAATAGAGAGGCTGGTGCAGGCAGCTCTGAGGGCTCTGAGCCCCTGCCCCCTGAGCCAGGCCTCACCCAGGCACCCGGCCAGCAGCCTGCTGTGCCCTGGCCTCTGCTCTTCTGTTCCCATCTCGCTGGACGGGTCTGCCTGGTGCACAGACTTGGCCCCTGCAAGGCCAGGTGGGGAGATGGGAGCTCTGCTTCCTGGCTGGGTCTTACCAGGCACCTCTTGCAAACCCAGGAAATGTGGCATCGCCAAGAGCCCAGGCACCGGCCAGGGGAAGCGCAGGGCTCGGGGTCCCTGTGGCTGGGAGAGAGGAAATGTGGCATCGCCAACAGCCCGGGCACCGGCCAGGGGAAGCGCAGGGCTCGGGGTCCCTGGAGGAGCCCTGCCTGGGGAGCTGGCTGATCGCAGCCTCAAACAGCAGCCAGGGAGGTGCAAGGAGACACAGCAGCCCGCCTCCCCCCAAGGGGTGAAGCCTGCTCCCATTCCCGTGGGAACTCCAATTTCATTGCGGGAGGAAGTTATCCGCAAGGGGTGAAGCCTGCTCCCGTGGGAACTCCAATTTCATTGCGGGAGGAAGTTAGGAACCAGGCTCAGAAAGCAAGCGATTGTGAGACCCTGGCCCTTCCACCTCTCCCAGAGGAACCGGCCCCAGGAGGTGGGAAGGTCCCTGAAAGGTCAAGGCTGTGCCTGGGAGTGGCTGTGGGCATTGGTGCCTTCAGGATGGGGCATTAAGGAAGCATCTCGCCCCCACCTCCTCTGTTCTCAGAGAAGCACAGGGCACTTTGAGTATCTGTAAAGGTTTCCATGTTGTAAAGGTTTCCATCCCAGAACACACAGCCGTAGTTAAGAAAACGGTACCGCGGGTCCGAAGCAGGAACCAGTCTTCAGAATTCCCACTGGAGTTAGTGTTTGCGGGACAGTGACTTTGCAGACGTGGCCGCCTGGGCCCTTGTTTCTCCTGGATTCCCAGGCCTGGAGCGCAGGGGCTGCCCCTGACTCCGTCCCCCAGCGCCCTCCACTCCTGCCAGACACTGTCACCTCCTGGGCCTCCTGCAGGCGGCAAAGGCCAGAATGCTCCAGGGAGCTGCACTGACGTTCAGGAGGCCACTCCAGGCTGGTCACAGGCCTGCTTTCTGTAGGAGCATGGCTTCCACACACCCATCCCCACAGCCCGCACTGCCACCAAGCGCTGACAGTCATGACCAGATTCTACAGTGTAACGATAGGCCCCTGAAGAAGAGAGAGACTTTGGTCCGCACACTCACCCCTGAAGCTGTTCAGGGAAGCAGTGGGTGCTGCAATGTGTCCCCAGAGCACAGTCTGTGGGAAGAAGGGCCAGCCCCCCAAAAGGAGCTGCTTCGAACACAATGCCTCCCTCCTCGCCGTGGGTGGTAAACCCATGGTCAGAGTCCCAGGACACACCGCCCGTAAGTTAAGACTTTCCCACTGGTGCCCGTATGTGAATCCTGACATGGGTGACCACATGTGTGCCTTCTCTCCTTGACATTCGTTCAGCCTGAAATGCTAGTTCCTTAGTTCTCCCTCGGCTCACTCCCCCGATGCAGGAAAAAACCGAGGCCTAGTCCGGCTGGTGTGGCTCAGAGGTTGAGCGTCAACCCAGGAACCAAGAGGTCACCAGTTCGATTCCTGGTCAGGGCACATGCCCCCGTTGGGTTGAGACTTGACCCCCAGTGGGAGGGCATGCAGGAGGCAGGCAGATCAGTGATGTCACTCTCTCATTGATGTTTCTATCTCTCTATCCCTCTCCCTTCTCTCTCTCTCTAAAAATCAATAAAAATATATTTTTTAAAAAATTGAGGCCTATTATTAAATTCCATTATGCTTGCGTCTTTCTCCACATCATTGTTTCCCTCCCTAAATTTTATTATATTCATTGGCTTATTGTTTTTCTCCCCCACTAGAACACATCATGAAGGTATGGATTTTGTCTCAGTGTTCACTGCTGCATTACCAGGACTGAGGATAAATAATGCCTGACCTATAATAAGTGCTCAATAAATATTTGTTGGAGGAATGAATAATTGTGTGTGTTCGAGAGAAAGAGAGACAGCTTGCATGGGTGTATGTGAGTGTGTGAGGTTGGGAGGGAGTGCACACGTGTGCTCATGTGTGTGTCCCTGTATATGTGTGCGCACACACGCGATGTACTGGGCACCTGGCCTCTGTGATATTTGGGGCGTAGCCCTCTTTAATGGAGCTGCCCAGGTGCCTCCCAGCGGTGACCCTGCTTGTGCCTTGCTTTCTCAGGAGGGAACACGTCTGCTCCTGCTGAATCCATGGTCAGTGCTGTTTGGATTAACAAGGAGAGGAGGCACTCACTGTCCCAGGACAAGGTGGACCCTGAGGCAGCGGGGATGCTGGAGGAGGCGGACAGTGGCTATCTGCAGGTCCCCAGGTCTCCATGGCACACGCACCTACAGATGTACTGCTCGGTCCAGACCTTCCACCAGGACGCCGGCCAGCAAGTCAAACACCAAGGCATGTTCCGGGGCTCTGAGCAAAGGCTTCCTCAGGAGAGAGACTCGGGCTTGTTGGAAAGCAAGCAGGTGACTCAGCAAGAGACCACGACCCCAGAGGCAGCCCAGCATGAACATCAAGTGGACCATCCCCAAACACAGACAGTGGGGTCCGGCTTCCACAACGGCCTTCAGGGTCCTTCCTCCATCAAGAACCCACAACGGCCTGGAAAACCAGCGCACTATCCATTTCCCCAGAGGAAAGCGCCCAGGATCTCCCAAGCTGCCCGGAACCTGGGCTTATATGGCCCCCCCTGAGGCTTTCTCCTCAGCCAGATGTCCCATCCTTGAGGCCAGCTCTGGTCTCATCACAGAACCCGGAGGCAGAGCCACCAGGGGGACCCCTCGCTATCAGCAGAACTGGGCTACCTCACTGGTAGGGATTGTGGGAAATGAACTTCACAGTGGGCACATGGTCTTGTCCTTCAGAAAAGAAGAGCTTGCCCAGAGCAGATGGCTCACAGTTCAGGATGAAAGAGCGCTGTCTGACCCATGCAGCCCGTTCCGCTCACACAAGAAGACATTGCTACGTTGCGGGGGAGCCCTGGAGGCCCGTTCCTTAGGGAGGTCCAGCAGGACACCTGCTCAGTCCCTAGAACCAGGGAACCAGTTTGAAACATAAAACAGGGACCCTGGCCAATGGGATGCCCTAGCAGTGCCCCAGAGTCAACGAACGTGGACAATCTGGTTTCCAATATCTTCTGGTGATTTCTCACATGTTCTGGAGAAGATGGGCTCTGAGGATTGGCTTTTTCTGGTTGCTCTGCCTGGAGGCCAGCTTATGTACAAGTCAGTACGTTCACTGTAGTGACCACACCATTTCAGCTTGAGCTTCCCAAAGTATGGTCACCCTGGGTAAAGAGGGGCGGAACAATGCCACCTGCCACTTTGTTCTTTGAGGGGTCTTGGGAAGGTTTGGTCACCTCTCACCTCTCACCGAGACTGCACATTCCAGTGTCATCACAGATTTACTTCCTCCTGTCCTTCCCTTCCTCACTCCCTTTTCCCTCCTTCCCTCCCTCCCTCCCTTCCTTCCTTCCTTTCCTTCCTTCCTTCCTTCCTTCCTTCCTTCCTTCCTTCCTTCCTTCCTTTCTCTCTTCTTCTTTCCTTCTCTTCTACTTTTCTAGTTGTCAGTCGTTTCTCTCTTTTCCTCCCTCCCTCTCCCCTCTCTCCAAATTGAATTAGTAAACACTGCCAATCAATAGTAATAGCAGCCTGAGCAGGAGCAGCCAAAGAAATGTTCCTGCTTAGAAAATGTGTTTCCCACAAACTGCTCCCTTTTCAGCCAAATGTGGGTCACTCTGGTCCTTCCGGGATATTGTAAACCGAAGAGAAAGTCCAGCAGGTGTTACTTGGGTGTGATGGGGAGTAAAGTATGTCTTTCCTGGTTAATGTTTGACTCCAGTAATGATATTTAAACACATCTAAGGTGCCTTTTCCTCATATCAATCCCTCTCTGCAAAGTTTTACCCCTACCCCCACCCCCACACACCCCATGGCACAGTCTTGCCTATCCCCTTCCAGGATTGTCATTACAAGTCAAAAATACATATGTGCCTGCTCCTTGGACCATCCAGAAATGCACTCCAATGTGGAGATTCATTGTGATTCCTTTTGTGAATAACTAATAAGAGCTCGTTGTTAATTTTTTTCATTGTTAACTTTTTAATAGTCTAATGAAAAACAAGAAAAATTTCTGAAAAACACTGTGTCCTTTGCTTTTGTTTTTAAAAGGATTCCCCACTGAACCCTCCTTACTATAGTGTATCAGTCAGGATAGGCTGTGTTTTGCTGCAGAAACAAACAACCCCCAAATCTCACAACAGAATCTTTTTTTCTCACTCATGAAGTCTACTGCTGATTTCAGCAAACTCACAGGGCAGCTTTCCTGCATCTATTACCAGCAATTCAGCCTGCTTTAATCTTGTGACACCATTTTATCAGTACTGGCAGGAGAAGAAGCTATGCATTAATAGTCATGTACTGACTCTCATCAGTTTTACTCCCATTTCATTGTCCAAAGCAAGTCACATGGTCAAATCTCCACATGAAGGGTATGAGAAAGTACAATCATCCCATGTGCCAAGAAGGAGAGAAGAAATGGAAGCATGGGTGAGCAGTACCAATGGCTAACACAGGTAGATAGGGGCCAAGCCATAGCACAATACTAGGTTTCATTCCGAATACAATACGTAGCCATTAAGGGATTTACATACAAGACCAAATTTATTTTGATTTGCAAATTAACCAGATCACTCTGGTTGTTCTAAGGAGAATGAGTTGAGGGTCACCTTAAGAGGCAATGTCAGGGGGAAAGGGCCATGGCAAGTTCAAGTGGGAAAGATGCTGTTAGTTCAAGCAAGAGTGGAAGCAGGGAGATGGAGAGAATGTGAATACATCTGATACATACTTTGGAGATAGAATCAATAGGATTTACTGAAGGAAAGCCCTAAGTTCAGTTTGAAGAAGACTGAGTTTGAGATGCTCACGAGGCACAAAAATAAAGATATCAAATAGACATGTGGATAAATGAGGCTAGGTTCTGGGCTAGACTTATGAATTTAGGTGTCATGAGTATGTAGAGATTCTCCAAAGCAGTGGTTCTCAACCTTGGCCGCACATTAGAATCACCTGGGAATCTTTTTACAATCCTGATTTCTGGGCCTCTTTGTTATAACAAAGAAACAGAATTTCCAGAGGATGAGGCCCAGAAATCAGGATTGTAAAAAGATTCCCAGGTGATTCTAATGTGTGGCCAAGGTTGAGAACCACTGCTCCAAAGAATGAGAAAAGATGAGGTCACCTATGCAGAGTGTAGAGAGAAGACAGGGTTCAAAATGAGTCCGGAAAGCTCCCAACTTACTTAGTTGAAGAATCTCTAAGGATTTTTCCAATTCTTACTCAGAAGGGGTGGGGTAGGTGGAGGAGGAGGTAGCAAAGGACACTGAAGAGGAGTGAGCAGGAGAAAGAAGAGCCAGGGATGTGGAGTCACAGACGTCAAGAGGAGAGAGACAGTGTGAGATGTTGCACAGCTACTCCCCCAATCGCAAACCTCCCACCAATGCCCATCATCGAGAGTCCGCCTTCTTCAGTCTGGAGTCATTTATCCTTGAGTGTGGCTTTTTGTTGTTGTTGTTTTTGTTGTTGCTAATCCTCACTCGAGGATATTTTTCTATTGATTTTTGGAGAGAGTGGAAGGGAGGGGAAGAGAAAGAGAGAGAGAAACATCGATGTGAGAGAGACACATCGATTGGTTGCCTCCTGTAGGTCAGGCACAGGGATGGAGCCTGCAACCGAGGTACGAACTGGGGACCTTCAGTCTGCAGTCCCATGCTCTCATCCACTGAGCCAAACCAGTTCGTGCTTGATGTGTTTTTAAGAGGCCAGAGTCCAAGAGGAAATGTCAGATGTGGGAAAACTTTCCAGCCCAGGGCAGGCCAGGTAGGTGTTAGCAAGTTCAGGTGCAAGCTCCCTGAGAGTGCCTTGGCCCTGTGGGCCTGCCTGTCCCCAGCACTGGGTCCTCCCACACCTGGGAGGGCTGCGGGTTGAGCGTTCCCTGTGGCAGAGCTGGAAGGGAGAGGACGCAAGGGGAAGCTAGTTGGCAATCCTTCCACTCCCGTCCCACAGGCTGCTTCTGCCAAGAGCATGAGCCCGGAACCATCTCTCCGTTTCGCAATCACACACTTTTACCAACCCTTGAGCTGTCAAACCTGCTGGGGCAAAGGGCTCAGGTTACATCTGGGCTCTCACTCTACTTGACTCTGAGTTTCTCTCCCCTGCTGGTCAGGGCTGGAGCTAAGGTTCTCTCCCCTCACTCCCCGCAGTCCTAGCAGGTTTCCCTAAACCAGAGAGCAACCAGCTCACACCATACAACCTGCATCGGGCAGGTTACCTTCGTTAGAGTCACCCCTCAGAGCCCACCCGCCTCACCACCCCCAACCTTCCAGCCACCGTGAAGGCGCCCCCGCGTGGCTGCCGTGAGACTTGCTTCAATCTTCCGGGGCTCGGAGGCCGGTGCATCTGGACTTCAGTCTCAGCACTGCCTTTGTGTAGACATGGCCTTGGCCGACTCACTGAACACGTAGAGCCAGCTCCCGCTGTAAAGTGAGGCGATGATAGCCCCCGTGGGGTGAGGATGCGGACGGGAGAGTCGCTCTCACGTGCTGTCAATTCCGCTCCGTCCCGCTAGGGGGCAGGCTCCCTGCACGTCGGCTCAGCCTGATTTCCTAACTTTTCAGTCGCTCTCCTTCATTAAAGGGCTTTCATTCCCGTTCTGAACACGTGAAACTATTCGAATTTAAAAGTCTATCTCATATTCAAGTCAGAGCCTACCAGCCCTCCCCCCTCCCCTCTCCCCCCCTCTCCCAGCACAGCCGAATGTATACCTTTAAGGCTAGAGGGAGGGGCGCGGTCTTCCAGCTCAGACACCCCTCCCCCTTCCGTGCCAGCGACTTTTGGCGCGAGGGTAGGAGGACAGACACAGAGGCTCTTTATGTGACTGGCTCTTGGTGTGCACTTTGGTCTCCTGTCCCCGGGCTGTTTGCACTGACCTGGCTCGTGGTCTGCGGGCTCCGTGCGGACACGTGGCGGCCCCCGCCGGCTCCTGCGGAGGAGGGACCCCCTCCCAGCAGCTCCCCTGGCACTGGGGGTCCCCGTGAGAAGGTTACACCTGCTCCGGCTGCACACCGCCGCCTCCCCCCCCCCCCCCCCCCATTACTTCTCTTTGCTAGTTGCCCCGGTCTCATCTACCCACAGCTGGCCCAAATATTTGAATCAATTTGTGCTCAAAAAGATTCTTAAATTCCTTAACATGCCTCCGTTGATCTTTTAACACTACTAAGTTAAACTACCTTCTTCTGACTCCGTCCCCTCACTGATTTCTATGTCACCATAGCTGGGAAACCCCTCTCAAATACAAGGTCGGGCAAAGGTACGTTTCTAGTTGTGCGTATGGAAAGTATTACAATAATTAATAACTAATAATACAAGAATATAAACTCTGTTGCACATGCTCACAACTGTATTTTACCCACCCTGTACTTTTGAAATGAAACAGCTGGTGGTGAAATGGGTGCTTGTCTCTGGAGGCCAGAGGGAACCATGATGTTTTCTAAATATCTGTGGATGCAAACGGGACTGTGTAATAAAGCTGACCAGCTGTGGGGAAGGGGAGGGGAAGGGGAAGGGGGCCCATGGCAGGAATGACAGCTCAGTGACTGAAATGTACCACCCAGGGTGGTCTGATCATGCATTTCTAACTGGGCAGGCCATGCGGGCGGGTCATGTCCCAGGCCTATAGCCTCCTTAGCCAAGGCCAGTCTTCTCCTTAAATGGTTCTTGCGCCTCTAGGATAAGATGCCTTTGAAACATCAGAGGAATTTCTTCCTAGACCCCTCAGAGGCACAAATGCAGGCACCGGAGCGCAGGCCACAGCGCCCTGATTGTTACCTTGTCTCCCCCTGCCCAACACCATCTCTACGTGCTGTGAATGTGAATTGTTGACTATCCTGCACCCACCCGTGTAACAGAAGCATTTTGCTTTTCATCTGGTCCTAGAGAATCCCCTGCTTTGGTCTCTTTCGCCTCCTGAATCTGCCGCTAATGCATCTCATTCTCTGACCCCACCCTCCTGGCGTTTCCTCTTTGATTCTAATGGATAAACTGAGCTGCAAAACTGCCATTCTCCAGAGCATTTTCTTGATCCGTTGAGATTTTGCTTCTGGGCATATCCTCACAATTGTGGCTCCTATAAACTTTTCTAAAACTTTCCCATAGGTAGGACATGCTTCCTAAAACCGAAACTTCCCAGGCTTTGAGGCATTGATCGTCTCTCCTCTGCACAAACACCCCTTTAGACACTTCCTTGTTGCTGCGAAAGACCCAGTGCCCCTGCCTTCCACATTTCCCATCCGTACACCAGTTTCTTAAGATCTCC